TTGCCGTCGAACTTGTTCGAGGCATATCTCTCTGCTCAAGACTTAATTTTTGATGTTGTTTCTTCTGTTATTCATCTTTTCTCATTTTGAATCTTTTTCGGTCACGGAGTTTCGCCGTTTGAGCACTTCTGCTCAAATTTCACTTTTCCGGACCCGGCGGGGCCCTTTCGGGGCACTTTTAGGGTTTTACTATAAATAGGGCGTTATAAAATTGAAGACTCACTTTCTCCTCTCTTCATGCACGACCTAAAGCATCCATGGCAGCCCAGGGGGGGCTGCCACCCTTCTTCTCTCATTTAAACCTCTTTCCCTTTGTTATAAAGTCATAGTGCCTTTGCGTTTTGTGTTTATCTTGACTACGCGCTTCTTTCACCCTTATTAGAACCCGTCTTTGGCCAAATTTTGAGTTCGGGTTTAAGGTCAAGTTAGGATTTTGGTAGGTCCTCTTTGGAGTTTAATGTTCACGGTGTTGTCCCCGATAAAACCCCGAAGTATTGTTGGATTCGGAACCATTTCATTTTGGTGGCTTTTAAGATTTTCATCTCAAATTGAGGTAGGGGATGTTTTAGGATTTTATATGTGTTGTATGGAGTGTTTTCCATGATTTTACAACTTGTATGCATGCTTTTGTTTAAGTCCTAGAATTTAATTTAATTAATTTCTATGGTTAGAATTTAATTCTCATGATGATGTATAACTTAGAATTAAATTGTTGCATGCTAGAAAGTTTGGATTTGATATGTTTGTTAACATTTATTAAATTGAAATTATTTGAATAAGAATTGCACTTTTTATTTAATATTTTTCTTTTGTGAAAGATTAATTCCCATGGTCATACCTTGCATGAAATGAACTTGTAATATGCTTTTAAATTAAGTTTTGGCATGTTCCTTAACATACTTTAATTTGAGAGCATTTGGATAAGTATAAAAATCTAGAGATTTTAATTAAAATCCATTTAATGGTTCCATTGGCCTAATTAAGTTTTTAACTTGATATTTGTGATGACTAGGACTTGTATACTAGCATATGTTAATTTGGGACCATTTGATGTTGTTTTAGAATTTAGGAATTTAATTATCATGCTTTAATTAAATTATATCCTATTGATCCAATAACCTAAGTAAGCTTTTGATTTGATTCATGTAATGAATAAGTTATGTTATTTAACATGTGTTAATTAGGGTTCATTTGATTGAGATATGAAACTTAGAAAAATTAATTAGGTTATATAATTAATTTCCGTTTCTATTACATTATTGATTAAATCGTGTGTTTAACATTGATATTATGTTTGAAGTATGATTTTAGATTTGTAATGGACTTATGCGATTATATTTCAATATTGAATTATATTGTTATAGCGTGTAACGAATCGTAAACTACTGATTCGACATGTGATGCTATTATAGCGCGTAACGAATCGCGCTCTGAAGATTCGACATTGTCATCCTATAATAGTTGTGGATTTAGGGTATGTATTGTGTGGTTTCAACCTACTTATGCATGGAATGTAGTTTCGTGCTGATATATATATTTCGTATATAAGTTGTTAACTTATTTATTTTGGAGTCTTGGGACATTGTTACTGTGATATGGCTAGAGTTTGGCTCTAGTGCAGGAGGTATGAGTTCTCCCCATTAAGATAGTACGCACTAGGGTGGTCTTCCCAACGGGTTAATGCCCGGAATAACCAATTTGTTCTTAGTTTAGTCCGAGACGTGATGTCCAAGTCTTTCACTATTTGTTTTTGCATTCAATTCTAAGTTGACAACCAATGTTTAATTTTGACTTGTGGTTTTGGTTATTGGCGATTTAATGTTGTTAAGTACATTTACGCATTATGATTTTGAATGAATCATAGCATGTTTTTAATGTTGTTAAGTACATTCATGTTTCATGATTTTTAATGAATCATTATAAATTTTGATGTTGTTAAGCACATCTATGCTTTGTTGTTCAAATGTGATTTAGGAATGATCCTATAGATTCATTTGAAACATAGACTTTAGGTGGCATGACTCACTTTAGTCGTTTACACACTTTTAGATTTCAAGTTGATTACTTTGAGGATCTATGTCTTGACGTGTGGTACTAGAAACTCCAATTTATGCTAAATGGTTATATTTAGCTGTTTACACATTTTAGATTTCAAGTTGATAACTTTGAGAATCTATATTTTGTCGCTTTGTATAGCATGCTCCTATGTTGTTTGAATTGCATGAATGATGTGATTTATGCTAGAAATGTTCTAAGGTAGCTTAGGATGCTCCCTGAGTCTCATCTTGACATAGACGTTAGGCGGCATGAGCCTCTTTAACATGTTTCACCTTAAGGTGATAAAATTATAAAATGTTAGGTCGATGCATGCTCATTTCCTACGAGTAGCTTTATGTTACTCACCCCAAAGTTACTGAGGCATATTTCAGGTACAGGAATTAAGGTTGAAAATTTCATTATGCTTGGGCGATTAGTGGACTTGAAGGTTCCATTTTGTGAAGGTTGGCTTGAAATGCCATTTGTAACCTTATTTGTCAAATGTGTATATTTGATTCTAAACTTGTAATGTGTGCCTAAGCACACTTTTTGATTCTCATTTTATGTATATGATATAAGGCCAAGGGCCAAATTTCATTTGAAGTTCATGTTTATTCATAATGGTTGTATTTTGCCTTTAATGAGAATATATGAAAAAGCATTCGTTTTTGTATGTTATTTTATACCGGAGTGTGTTTTATGTATGAAATTCATTATCTAGCATTCATTTAATATGTATGAGGTGTGACCAAGGGCCAAACATCATTTTGTTTTCACTTTTGCATTTTAGTCTCATACATTGCATTTGGACTAAAATAGTAGAATCCGAGCCTTTAAGGGTTCATTTTCAAATCGGGTGGTGCAAATTGTCGTCTGGTACCTCCACTAGGTCTCATTAATCATGCATGAAATATGGCCAAGGGCCAAACGGTAATTTGAAATCATTTGTAAATTTTAAATTTCAAAATTTTCATTTCATGTGCATTTTTGCCCTTTTGGCCGTTGGGGGGTCAAATTTTGCATCGGTGGTATTTTTAAGCCATGGACCATTGTGGCACGTCCTAATAGGTAAGTTACGTTTGTGTGCACAGTCATTTCCGGGCAAACCTTCTTCTTTGGTGAAGTGAGCCTCCTATGGACTCATTTTAAAACTGTGTTGCATAATCTGATCTAGGGGCATTCTAGACTTTTCATATCAGTTTTATTTTCTTCTTTTGACATAGTCACTTAGAAAATGTGATTTTATGGGGGGTTTCTTCTTCGTGTTTTTTCAGAAAATGTCGTCTTGGCATCAGAAATCCATCGTAAAGTTCAGCATTAAATTTTGCATTTAGCAGCTTTTTGACCCTCATGATCAGATTTTGTGGGAGGGCATTTTACAGCGAGTTTTTTTTCATTTTCATTCACGAGTCTGGGTAGAAAATTTGATTTCGGGAGGGGTTTCTTCTTTGTGTTTTTCCAGAAAACATCATCTTGGCCCTCAAAAATCCATATCTTTCCGAAAAATCCTTTCTGCCGTTTGCTAAATTTTTAGTACAAGTGTGCTTGGTACCATTTATTGACTTTTTTTTCAAAAATGTGTTGACCGATCCGAAACTTCCGGGGATCTTGTGGGTGTATTTTAATGTTGCATTTTCAATTTAGGTAATTTAAAAACCTTCCGAAGCCCCATTTCCTTTCCTTGGGCAGTAGCTCGGAAGTGATTTGCATTTCTTGACCTGATTTTCTTAGGGGCATTGTGGGCATTTACATTGCATTTTTTTTGTTTCCGTCCACGTAGTTGGGTAGAAAACCGCGGGGGGCGGGGGGGGGGGGGGGGGGGGGGGGTGTTATTCTTCGTGTTTTTCCAGAAAAATTCGTTTAAAGGTCCGTTTCAAGCCTCAGTTCTAGAAAAATCCGAAATTACCCTTGCTGCTAGTTATGCCATACTCATGGGCGCCGGTGGCCGCCGCGCCGTCGTTTTTGTTTTTGATCTTTCTCCCTCGTCCGAACTCCAAATCAAGTGAACTTTTATTTGAACTTGACTAATTTTTCATCGTCTATCCAATGGTGTGCTCGGTTGCACCCAGATCTTCCTGGATAATTACCAGTTTACCCTTTTTGCCTTAAGTGCTCGTTTTTCTTCGTCTTACCGTTTTTCCTTCATCCGGACTCCGAATCATGCGATTCTTGAGTCCATCTTAATTAATTTTTCGTTGTCTTCCCAGTGGTGTGCTCGGTGGCACCCGAATTAATATTTTTTTCAGAAATGACCATTTTGTCCTTGGGGCTATTTTTGTCCGGTTTTCTTGTAATTCGCTTTCGCTACTTTCTTTTGAGTTCTGTGACTTCACGGGAAGTCATGGACATCTCTCGATAATAATTTACATTATAGGGACGTCATTTCTATGTAAAATGACTATTTTGCCCCTGGGGGCTTATTTGTCATATTTTCGATCTTTTTCTTCCGCATTAGTTCTCATTAAGTTTCACGACCTCATGGAAGGTCACTTTGACTTCTTAGAGTCTTATTTTCTGTTTTTGCTTTCGCATTTCGGATCCGTTATCGGATCATTATTTCGATTCATCACTAACGCACTGGCGTAAAAATCAGGGCCGTCACATGTAGACTTTCAGTTCATCGCAACAATTTTACAATTTTACATTAACTATTATGATTATTTTTATTTTTTATTTTTTATTTTTTATTAATTAATATGGTAGACTTCATTTTTCTTTTTGTAATTTGTTAGAATAGATGTAAGAAAGGCATATTAAAATGTATAGATTTTTTAAATTTAGTGACAAATTATTGTTTATCTACTTATTGCCTCGCACATATACGTTGACAAGATGTAGGTTTTTTTTTTTTTTTTTTTGTTTGGGAAGCAATCGAACCCCGACCTCTCTAAATTTTAAAAGGTTATACTGCTGAATCATTTGGTCATTTGGTAACGTAAGTTACTTGTAACAAACGTGGTGGTACGTGGTATTAGGAGAACTTAAAAAATAACACACGTGGGTGGTATTAGCAGAACTTCATATATACCTCACACACGCAGACCACTGCACGGTTAAGATAGTCTACACGCACCTCAACCACCGTTCAATTCATACACACTAAACAGTGTATATCATCTCCGGCAACTTCACCGTTCAAAACTCAACCCCATGACCGGCCAAACCTTCACCACCTCCGAAGAACCACCGCCTGGCACCTCTAACCCACCATCAGCAACGCCCCTCCTCCTCCCAAACCTCCCGAACGACGTCGCACTCCAATGCATTGCAAGAGTCCCTCGCTACCAACACCCCTATCTCTCTCTCGTCTCCAAATCCTGGAGGTCCACCATACGTTCCCCTCTCCTCTTCACCACCCGATCACTCCTCAACTGCGCCCAACACTTCCTCTTCCTCAACGTCCGCACCAACTCCTCCTTCAACTGGTACCTCCTCGATCAAAACCCTAACCCTCCAAACCCTAAAAACGCTAGAACTCTCTCGCTTCTCCCTTCCATCCCTTTCCAGCCTATTGGGGCTACATTCGCGGTATCAGGCCCCAAAATCTACGTAATTGGAGGGTCAATTAACGATATTCCATCCAACAATGTTTGGGTTTTCGATTGCCGGTTCAATAGATGGGAAGTTGGGCCTAAAATGCGGGTTGGAAGGGAATTTGCTGCAGCAGGGGAGGTGAATGGTAAAATATATGTAATGGGTGGGTGTTTGGTGGATAATTGGGCAAGATCAATGAATTGGGCAGAGCTTTTTGATCCAATGACGGGGTTGTGGGCGGCGGTGCCGAGCCCGATTGAGATTAGGGATAAGTGGATGCATGCTAGTGCTGTTATATATGATAAGATATATGCAATGGCTGACAGGGGTGGGGTGGTTTATGATGCGGTGGCAGCAGAGTGGAGTGGTGTGCCAACTGGGCTTGATATGGGGTGGAGGGGGCGGGCTGCGGTTGTGGGTGGAGTGCTGTATTGTTATGATTATTTGGGGAAGATTAGAGGGTATGATATGGAGGAGGATGAGTGGAAGGAGTTGAAAGGGGTAGAGAAGGGTTTGCCGACTTTTTTATGTGGTGCAACAATGGCCAATTTGGGAGGGAGGTTGTGTGTGGTATGGGAACGTAAGGGGACTAGTAAAGTGGTGGAAATTATGTGCGCGGAGATTGAGGTTCGGAAGGACAGGTGTGGGGGGCTAAGTGGGTCAATTGTTTGGTCCGATGTGATTCTTGTTGTTCCAGATCGGTCTTCAATTGTGCAGTGCTTGCCAGTTGGCTTGTGACATTTGTTATAACAACAATGGTATGTTGATGCTATGTATCAAGCTTTGTTGTGAATTTTAATTAACTTTTGCATCATATAATTATATAAGTGTGAATTGCTATTATTACTTATCAAAAAAAAATGTGTGAATTGCTATTAAGCTGTGGAATATGTATAATTGGAATGCAATAATAAGAGTATAAACTTGCATTGGAACATATATGTAACTAGACAATTTAGGTTGTGTATTAGAAATGTTATGGGGAATGAAATATGGAATTGAAGGAACGACATTATATTAGGTGTTACTTACCAAAAACAAACATTATATTAGGTGTTTATTTTAATAGAGTTCAGATTGATGAGGTACCTAATTAAGGTTTTTGGGATAGACACAGAATTTCTCGTTTTAAATATTGAAAATGTTTCGTGTGTGTTAAAAAATCCGTCAGCATACTGTCTGAATTTGAACTCAATATGTGACATAAATTATGTAGTTGTGTTGTTTATGGATTGTATAATATGCTAAAAATGAAGGAGATTGTCTATATATTCACTCTACAGTTAAACAGTACAAAGGGAAGCTATACACTTCTCCTATATCCATGTATGTCTATATGTGTTCATTTATGTATACAGATTTAGGGATTTTTTATTTTTAAATTTTATTTTTAAATAGGGGAAGTGGTTTATAGAAATATAGAATTATATATAGTTATCTCTTACTTGTGTACTTTGGAGCTTGTGGATTAGGTACTATACTGTTAAATAGATGCAGTGGTGATTGTCTTTAGTGATAGTAAAAGCAAATTTTGGGTATTGAAGGAAATCAACATCCAATCAGATTCCAATGGATAAATTTTTTAAATAAATATCATATTGGAAGAAATTTTGAGGTCCTTAAACTCTGGGTGGCAACTGTATAATCAATCTCAAATTTTGCAAAATTTATTCCCAGTTTGTTGATAAGACCTTAACAATTTTTAATTAACTTTTCCAACTCCCAATCCTGAAAGGATCGCTGGAACTACACATCCAAGACAACCTACCGCTATCGAGTCGATAACAGTCAGCTACCACAGCATGTCTATCAACAACAATCTTGAACAACCTCGGGAACAAACAAGACAATGGGTGATCCTCACACCAAATATCCTCCCAAAACCGAACGTTCCTTCCTTCCCGAACTCTGAATCTAATATGCTTAGAGAACTCATCCCATCCTTTCCCAATGGATTTCCACACCCCCACGCCGACAGCAGATTTGACCGGCCTAGATGACCATCCCCCTCTCTTCTCCAAAACGACATGAAACAACCTCTCTCCATAACCTCTGTCTTTCGCTACCGAATCTCCATAACCACTTGCCTAGGAGCGCTCTGTTGAAAGGGGCCAATCTCCTAATCCCAAGACCGCCCAACTTAAAGGGCCTGCACACCTACTCCCACCGGACAAGATGAAATTTAAACTCCTCCCCCTGTCCACCCCAGAGGAAGTTCCGTTGAAGCATCTCAAGTCTTCCGACAATAGAGGAGGGGATCTGGAAAAGCGAAAGAAAATAAGTTGGAAGATTGGACAATGTACTCTTCACCAAAGTAACTTTCCCTCCCTTCGAAAGATATTGCTTTTTCCACCCAGCCAACCTTCTCTCGAAACGCTTTATCACCGGGTTCCAACTTCCCACACTCCTTGACGAATCACCCAACGGCAAGCCCAAGTAAGAAATAAGGAAGGAGCTCGTCCCGCATCCTATAACCGCCGCAAGAGAAGCCACCTCCTGAACTTCTCCCACATGAACAAGCACACTCTTACCCATGTTGACTTTCAATCCTGAGACTGTCTGAAAGTAGACCAGCACGCATATCAAATATCTCAGTTGGGACACATCTATGTCACAGAAAACCAGAGTGTCATCCATGAAAAGCAGGTGAGAGATCTCCATTTGCTGAACTGAATCTGGACCAATCCTGAAGCCCCGGATAAATCCAAAATCCATAGCTCTTCTCATCAACCTATTAAGAACCTCCATAACAATAATGAACAGGAATGGGGAGGGTGGGTCCCCTTGCCTCAAACCTCAAGAACTGCCAAAAAAAACTGGATTGAGACCCATTCACCAACACAGAAAATCTGACTGAGGAAACACACGCGTCGATCCATCTCCTCCATCTCTCTTCGAAACCCATCCTCTCTAACAGATAAAATAAAAAATTCCAGCAAACATGATCATAGGCTTTCTCAATATCAAGCTTACACAGAATTCCGCTATTGAACCTATAATCCACACATTCACTGGCAATGAGAGTGGAATCCAGGATCTGTCAGCCCCCAATGAACACATTTTGAGATTTAAAGATGACTCCGTCCAACACCTCCCTCAATCTTAACGCAAGGACTTTAGCGATAAGCTTATAGATACACCCAATCAGACTTATTGGTCTAAAATCCTTAACGTTAGAAGACCACCCTTCTTAGGAATTAGAGCAATAAAAGATGCATTTAGCGACTTTTCGAACCTCCCATTAGAATGGAACTCATGAAAAGTGCCTATAACCTCCTGTCTAACCACTTCCCAGCTCTCTAATAAAAACGTCATTGTGAAACCATCCGGACCTGGAGCTTTGTCACCATTACAACTCTTCAAAGCCTTCAAAACCTCCTCTTTTGTAAAAGAACTCTCTAACCCATCCCTATCCACAGTTGATATAAAGTTAAAATGAAGGCCTTCAAGCCATGGCCTCCAGCGTAAAGGCTCAGAGTAGAGCCTCTGGTAGAAAGAAACGACCACCCTATGCACCTCCTCCTCCGTACTCAACACTGTTCCATCCACACAAATTCGCCCAATATGATTGCCCCTCAATGGGCATTGGCAGTTCTATGAAAAAACTTTGTATTACGGTTTCCCTCTTTGAACCACAAAGCTCGAGATTTTTGTCGCCACGAAATTTCCTCCATGATCGCAATCTCAACAATGTCTGTCTGACAAGCTGCTCTCCTATCACGTTGAGACTCAACAATACCACCCACCCCTTCCAATCTATCAATCTCTCCTATCACGTTGAGACTCAACAATACCACCCACCCCCTTCCAATCTATCAATCTCAGCAATGTCAGCGAGGGCCCTATTCTTCCTCCACTCTAGATTACCGTTCACCTCCTTATTCCATCTTTTGAGTTTGTTCTTCAGGAATCGAAGCTTTCCTGACAAAATAAAACTCGACGTTCCCACCACCATGTCCTCCTCCCACCAAGACCGCACTTTCCCTTGAAAATGAACCGCTCTAAGCCACATGTTCTCAAATCTGAATGGAGTACAATGAGGTCTCAATCCTCCACAATCCAAAACCAAAGGAATGTGGTTCGACGTCACCGTAGCCAAACCAGCCTGAACTGCATCCGGAAACTTCTCCTTCCACTTCCCATAAATCAAGAATCTATCCAGGCGGGAAAGAGTAGGCACCTCCCTACCGCTGGACCATGTAAAAGTAGCTCCCTCCAATGGAAGGTCAATAAGCTCATGTCCATCAATAAACTCCGAAAATTGCATCATAGCCGGAGTCCATTGACCACCTATAGATCTCTCCGACGGGGACCTAACCACATTGAAATCCCCGACCACACACCATGGAAGAGACCACAGGCCCTTCACCACACTAAGCTCCTCCCACAGCGCGAGCCTCTCACAATCATCCACCGGCCCATACACGTCAGAAAAAGCCCAAGAAAAGCCATCGTCCTCCATCGCAAAAGCACAAGAAAGAGAGAAATGCCCTCTAAATATCCACCCTCGCCATCCATCTCCTATCCCACCTGAGAAGAATGCCTCCAGAGGCCCCTAAAGAATCCAGAACCTCTCACTCAACGAACCTACTTCCCCAAAGGCTCTTAACCACTCTATCGGTCATTGCATCAATCTTCGTTTCTTGAAGGCACACCAAATGGACCCCCCATTTTCTCATTGCCAACTTCACCACCTTCCTCTTGCCCGGGTCATTGAGACCACGGACATTCCAAGATAAATTCGTAGCTTCATGAGGAAATAGCACCCACCTCTCACTTACCCGTCCTTCCCCCCTTAGCACTGCCCCTTTCCTCCCCCCTCATCATCCTTTCATAGTTCACGTTTGAACAAAGATTTCTCAGCTCCCTCTCCCCTCTCCAAGAGGGTGGATTCTTTTTCCTTCTACTCCCCCTTCTAGAGATCTTTTTCATCTCCCCTCCGCCGTAGCATGAAGAATCGATAAGGCCTGGTTCCGATTGCCCTTACAAGAGACACCCAACAGTTCGCTAGTGACCCCGATATTTGCCATGACCCATTCCTTGCCAATATCACCACAATCCTGCCTTACAATATCACTGTCCATATCCTCCGGTCTCACAACTGCTAGTGGATCAACCATCCCCAGATTTGGGTGACCCTCCTCCGCCCACAAGATCATGTCAAGAGACCTGCACTGCTCAGCCCTGCTCCCATCAACATCACCTCCCTCGGGCTCCTCCACCTCATCAACACAGAACATCCAGTCAACTACACTGTCCACCCCACTTTCCTGTACATCAAGGTAAGAATCCGGATCATTGGTTAGCACTTCATCAGACAAAAACCTGTGCTTCTGCAATTCCTGGACCAACGAAGTAGTTGATTCGTCACTAAGCGTAATACGGATGTCCTTGCCAATGCAAACTGTCATCTTTTATGGCAAAAAAACCGTTTTGAGGTGTCTCCAGAACATCACCTTTGGGTAAACACAGACTTATTCCTTCCTCTCTACCCAGATGAGGCTCGGCCAGCCCACCTATATCATCCCCAGACGTACCATACTGAATGGAAGCGGAGAAATCAGAGCAAAACTCATTATGCTCTACACAGTTCCAATCAATACCCGCATCAACAAGCAAATTGACCTGTCTCATCCCTTTCTGACAGCCCAAAAGCCCCATACCCAGTAAAATCCGTATCAATCACCTCATCTACGGAGTCCACCTCCACCACTGCCGATAACATCCGAGACATCAACGACTTCCCATCAAAATCCTCCCCCACCTCGCTCCTCAATACCCCACAAGAAGGAGTAGTAGAAGAAGAAAGAGCAGAAAGAAAGCTCCGAGAAAAGGAAGAAGGGTACATACCAGGATCAGAATGAATAACCTTGCGGGCGACCCATTTTTGCTTGTCTTTTCTAGTCCATCTTTTATCGGACTGATGCGATTTAAACGAAGATTGACAATCTTCCTTGATGGATGAACAACTACCATCCTCAACATCACATAGAGATCCCGACTGAAGCAGTCCAAATTTGTTACCAGAGAGCAAGTTCTGACCGCACTCACCGTGCCGAAACTTCTTCGATATCAAACCAGCACCCTTCTCCTTGTTCACACTCACCTTTGCCCACTACTCCTCTAATCGCAACCAATACCTTAAGTCCGACTTCAGCTGTGCCAAATCATGGATAGGGCCTTGAGAAAGTTTACTGGGCGCCTTAACAGAAGTTGGGCTGCAATCCATTGATAGAAACAGTTAAGCACTTGTTTGGGCCCCAACTCACCACCATATCTTTTATGTGTTTGTGTTTGGACTTGGCATGTGCAGGTCGAGGATACGAGGTTGGCCCAAATGACTTGGGCTTATCACACCCGACCCAACTTTTTGAAACTCTGTCAACCCACGAACCAATCTGCTTAGGCCCACGCTGTCTAGGCCCAATCTCACCAGGCCCATCAGATGTAGAACTCGAATATCCCCTACTCTCACGTGCCTCTTCACATGTAGAAGCAGCTGTCATCCACTTGCAACGGGAGGGAGCTGTCCGCCAACCACGTGCCCCGCTAACGTCCCTCCCAATCCCACACGCCTTTGGCGTGTTCAGCTTCACGCGTCCCTGTCCTTGAGTTCGGCGGTCCTGCACATCCATCTTCTGAACCTCTGGCACACTCCTAGACCCAGTCCCAGGCCTGTGAGACGGTCGCTTCCTTCTTTCTGACACCACAGGTGGCCTCAAACCTTCACTTCCGGCGCAGGACTTGGAAACAAGCACAAGGGAAGGGAGCGATTTCTTCTTTTAATAAAATTCTGAAGGCCAACCACCTGTCCTCCACGATGATGGACTTCGGGATCTTGCCGCCTTCAGCCACAGTAATAACAATCCTCTCTGTGTCGCTCATTTCATACGCCTCAACATCCCAAAATCCTCCACATAAATCCCCAATTGCAACAAACAGCTTCTGACACCATAAATGCCGTACACGATGACTCTCCAGTGATTAGTCTTCTTTCTCAACCCAAAACACCCAACCCTGTAACACCATAGGTCTGAACAGCTGCACATCTCCCCATGCTTTCTTTCCCCTATCAAGAACCTTCTGTGCCTCCTTAATCGACGGGAATCGGAACAGCAGAAGACCATCAGCCAGAGAAGAAACCCTAACCCCAAATGAGATCCTCCATGTCTTCGTAGCCCACTCTTCAATCTCCTCCAACGACCCCACATCACTGTCAAATCTCCCAACAAGGCAAGACTTAAGCATCAATTCGCGAGTGGAAGTGCTGTGATTGTCCACTCTAAACACATGCCCTCTGAATGAAGGTACACACTCCACCTCTCCTTGTAGATCTAGACGAGGGAGGCTTGCGACCTCCAAAAACGACAGCTTCTGGCCATCGAGGGCTCTCATGAAAGCAGCCAAATGAGAACAAGGAAACAATAAAAAACCACTGAAAGCAAAACACAAGAGAGGAAAGAGGAGCGCCAAGAAAAGTAGCAGAGGATTTCACCGGAGTTTATGACTCCGGTGACTGGTCGGAGTAGTGGACTCAGGCCGCATCTCTATTACGACAGCCATGATAGTGATATTGGGTGGAATATTGAATGTTAATTATGAAATAGCTTGGTTTGCTAGTGTTTTCAATTAAAATGGTAAGGGTGTAGGGACACGATATGATGATGGTGAGTGTGTGAGTAATGTTTGTTAGTAAATCGAGCATGAGGTAGTTGGTGCAAGTGTATCGTGATCACATGAAATACCACATCATGAGGTGGCATGGAGTAAGTGTGTGATTGTGCTGGAACATGGATAAAATGTAAGGTTTAAGTTGGTACGTCAGAATGGACTCTTAAATCGTTAGCACGAGTTACTTATAAAAAAAAAAAAAATATTCGTTAGCACGAGTTGTGAAAATCTGGAATTTTGTTGGTTATGCTGTAGGCTTGTGTTTGGGGACGCCCAATACGCAAATTAGTTGTGAATCAAATTTGTTCACCAAGAGATCTTGTTCTGTATGGTCATTTGTGTTCTGGTAATTGTGGCATGCTGATTTCTTGTTTGTATGATAATTGCAATGTGGGTTCCTGATATGGGTTCGAGGTATCGGAATGTCAATGATGGTAGTGATGAGGGTCTGAGGGACTGTAGTGTATGTTATGTGGATCTGGGGGACCAGAATGTATGTGATGTGAGGAAGTGACCAGGAATATGTGTATTGTTGTGATATTAATTGGAGTTTCAGGGACCGAACTGTGTGGATCGGTTTTGATGATGTGGTTAACCAAAGGATGCTGTTTTTCGCTCTTTCATACTCCAGAAGTTTATTGCATGCAACTTCTGTAGAAAAGAAAATAAAATCTGGTATCACCTTCTACTTTTTTCCTTTTAAAATCGGGTGTCACCTTTACGATATTTATGCAGTCAAATCACCTTCTTAAGTGCATGACTGTATGGCAGTCTTGAGATGGCTTGTCAAAAGTTTCGCAGGACTGCTGACCAGCACCTTCAACTTCCCAAAATCTGCATCTTGATGGCAATAGTAAAACTAATTAACAAAAGGAATTTTGGAACTTTCCCAGAAAGACTTAGAAATGGATAATTTTGAAACATTTAATGAAATCAAAATATCCCCTGCAGTTAGAAATTTCTGACCACTTGTCTTTAACATGCAAGTGACGCTTGTTCAGCTGTATTTAGTCTAGAATAATCCCCAAATAGAAATAGTGGAATGAAAAAATAAAATAGTTGAATAATAAAAAAGCTCTGAATATGTTGATGATATCCAACTAGATCCACATTCTATTAAGAAATCAAGATTCCACAACAAAAATCCATAAATCAACAATTAAAATTAATTGAGTTATTACAATTTAAAATTTAGTTTTGACCTCCTTTACCAAGGAGAAGAATGAGAAAAAGAGAGGAACAGAAGAACAAGAAGAAGGATTGTAGATATGCAAATATTTATAATTAAAAAATAAAATTAGGAAAAACCAAAAAAATGTTACTACAATTAGTTGTTTATTTAGAATGGTTTTTAACTTAGTAACCATGAATAGATCAAACCTTAGCAAAAAATAGCCTAAATTCATATACACATTTGTACAATTGTAGATAGACACTCTGGATTATATGATATTTTGAAAACCTTGCACTTGATCTTGCTTCACTCTCATTCTATGCTCTGGATACGCATCAACGTTGACAGGGTCCTACCTTAATTTACTGTTGCATATACAAATAAACAAAATGACTTGGACAAATTATTTGCAAGTATCATTGATATCGTTATGTATCATGTGTTTATTATTGAAACTAAATTATTTTTAGCATTTAAAATATTGTTTCGAACATTTCAGGGTCAACTTGATGAAGTCTTAACACAACTGTGTTTTTTTTTTATTTTTTATAAATGGACTTAACATCAACTGTTTTGTTACTAGCTGAACCAATTGCTTCTATATTCATCTCTCTCTCTCTCTCTGACACACACACTCAAGCAATATGGTAATATAATACTGAGCATAAAAATTAATTTTAAATGAATTATAACACAATTGTAATAGTTATTGAATTTTTTTGGTTCTTCAGGACTTCTAAATACGATCTAACAATAATATGATCATGGACGTTTACCACATGCATGGATTGACCATTCATTTGTTATGTCTCTCTTAGATGGTCATGCGTTTGTTCAATCACAAAGTATGCTTAAATTTGGTAGACTGACAGTACATGAACTGGGAATATGCAAGTATTCTTATTGGATGTTCTAGCTTGGCATGGGAATAGAATTTCCTGGAATGATGTGGGTGTCACCGTGTCAGTATACTGGCTTTGAGTATTGTTTGATGATATGCCAATTGCATTATTTGATAGAGTGATGCTTCTTGACTGAATTTTTATATTGTCCATGTGGTAGGGAGAATTTGGTGAAGGCTTGATTCTTAGGCGCGTGCGCGGGGGGGTGGTTCTTGGGGTTGGGAAATTTTCTATTTGGGATACAGTTGCATGCCTCAATTGATTTTGTTGCAAGCAGATTGATAATATTGGTGTATTACTGTCTCATCTTGTTCATAGATTTTCTTCTCGAAGCTTTCTAATTGCTTATAAATGTTATTGCCTTGTTGCCATGTTTATACTGCCTTTACAACTACTCAGAAAACTACTGGTTCCAAAAATAATAGGAAAGAAATCAAGTATTACTCAGCGAGGGACCACTCCAATCATCCTCCAAATGTTGTGATGGAGGTACTTCTGTTTCGGGTGAGGTGACTTGCTCAAGAGCGTTTGATTGATTATTAGGTGCAATAACTGTATATCCTTGTATATGTTCGAGTGGTTACCGGCAGATTGAGTGCCTCATTTCTGGTATAAGCTTTTGATTTCCATATGGGTTCAAATAATGTAATTCTGTAAAATTATCTCCAGTGAATTGTCAATTATAAACAGGGCTCATTGCAATACACTATGTAATATATGACCCTTGGGATTAAATCATGTTGTGATTTTCTTTAAATGCTTTCACCTTAATTGATCTTCAACCAGCATCTTCACTTACAAAATTCTATGAGGAGGCTAGGCAAGAAAATGATGTTAATGATCAAATAGCACAATTTCCCTGTTTAAATGATTTTTCTGCTCATCTTATTTTAAGTGATTAGACAGGGAGCTGTGCAGCCTGTGCGTGCTTTCCAGAATCCAGGTAGCATTTTGTTTGTTTAGGCTGGCGAATAATTACAATACTGGTTGTGCTAATGCTTTCATAGTTTGTGTTGGACTTTGATATGTGTAAGGAGTTGGGGGAGCCTCTGAACCACCTTTTGATTCACTTCCCTGTGGCGGCGAGGGATGTTTGGTCTATGTTCTTGGTTGTTTTTTGTCTGACGTGGGTGTTTCCTGATTTTACGGTTGATTTGTTAGGGACTTGTAAAGGGTGTGTAGTGGAGAGCTGAGTCAGAGATGCTTGGAGGGCCACTTCCCTTTGTTTATGGTGGGGTTTGTGATGCGACAGAAATAGGAGGTCCTTTGATGGAGATGAGTCTCCTATTTGGTCTCTCAAATACAATATACTGTCTTCTTTATTCTTTTGGGTTAATGGGCAAAATTGTATGTTTTTGGATATTCTTTTGAATTTTGTGGATAGCTTAAAGATGTAGGGTCACTGTAGGCAACCTTTGTTCCCTTGGGAGCACCCCTTTAATGAATTTTACTTAAAAATAAAAATAAATAAATAAATGAAGAAGATAAGATTAGACCAAAGATCTGCCCATGAGATACGAACAGGTTAGTGACCTAGCGATATTTGGTCCTTACCTCCTAAAGAGAAGTTAAAGGTTCAAGCTTTAATGGAGGTATATATGTGAGTACTAACTAAGAAAAAAAAAGGATATGCTCAAGAGTTTTTCAGACGAATCCATATAGAAATAAACAATTCTATCCACAATACAACTTTTTCCATAGCAATTTGATTGTTCAATCAGAAATTTTCACAACCATTATATTGTTGTTGCTATTATTTTTAGGGTAGGTGAGACTCACATCCAACTTGCTATTGTTCGGACTTCCAGTGGGGACTTTAAACACATCTTTAAATGCAAGAGGATATATCACTTAAAGTAAAGGGTAAATTACACCAAGTTCTAATGAGGTTTGGGCATGAGAAGTTTGGGCTTATACATAGTAGATGGTTTAGTGTTTATTACTTTCCTTCCTTATTTATCTGCTGTTGAAAGGTGATTTTGAGAATGAAAAGTTACTAATGTCCTTGTATTATATTGTAAATACTTATTAATTTTAAAATTTACATGACCCGTGTGTAATTTGTCCAAACCTCAAGGAAGGTCGGTATAATGTACGCAATCTTTATATAATATTTGGTCAATAAGTTTATGGTAAAAAAAACGTTAGGAGTGTTGTTAAGCATACAGTTAAAATTCAGGGGAGGTTAAAGTAATAAATGATTAATAGTCTATTCGTGTTTCTTTCTTGTAAAATCAAGAATCAAGCTCGACCTTTTGATGACTGACACTGTATTTGGAAAGAGTAGCGATACATCAAAGAGTTGCAATGAATTGCCTAACAACATACTTTTGATTGGTTATTTATGCAAAATACAAACAAGTGGAGGACTCAATTTGGAAATACAGACATTTCATCTTTAGGTTTTAACAACTCTTCTGGACCTGAGAGGGTCCATGCTAAAAAAAAACAAGGGCAAAAGTGACAGAAATTGAGTTTAACATTAATGTAGTGTTTAGTTACATGGAATTGGTGTATTGGAATTAAAATTGAAAAAAATTAGTTTAAACTTTGAACTAAATTTTCTTCAATTCCAAGACATCAATTTCATATAACCAAACATAGCATAACTATTTTTCATATCATCAAAAAATTATAAATCTTTTGGATTGTCTTTTTTTGCCATTGTGTTCGACTGCATGGAATTGAAACCTTAGAATTGGCTCCAATTCCATACAGCTGAACCCATAGTCTAAATCTTAGTCTGTCCAAACTGTTGATTTTGATCCAAGAACATTCAAGCCTTGTGGAGGTGTAATGCGTTTTCAGTCCCTTGTACCTGCATTGATTTGTGCCAACCAAGATATGCATTTGCATTCATATCCAACAAGTTTCAGATCCGTCTCTCAAAAATAAATAATTGAAAATGATAAAAGAGTCCTACTCTCAAACTGACTTTTTTTGTCTTTATGTAAGTGAAATGATATTGTTAAGATAAAATTATAATGATATCATGATGACATCATCCTTTATTCACGTAAATATAGTCAGAATCCGTTCCACTCTCAGAAAAACTATCACACAACTCATAAATAATTGTTATTTTAAATTTTGCTACAGAACACTAGGGCTTAAACTGTAAATCAAAATTTTGTCAAAGTCACGTTTTTAAACTTTGATGTTACAAAACACAGTTCTAATGAATTCAATTCTTAATTTATTAGGTAGGTTTTCAAATTCAGTATTTAAAACTCCAGCATTTAAAATTTAACTCTTAAATCTTTTTTTTTTTTTTTTCGGATAAGCGATCAAAGCTTAATTTTTCAATTTTATCTACAATAACTTAAATCTTTTCTTGTTCCTGGTTCACCCTTTTTCTAGGATTTTTTTTTTTTTGGCTTCGAGTGTTTACTCCTTTCTCTTTTGTTTTAATCCAGCAAACAAATGGAAGGAAATGAGAGGGGAAACATACATATTATTAATTTATTTTCATCATCCAAACATGTAATATTTTCATATCATTAATCTACACGGCATGTTGTAACATCTTCAACATTATAGTAGAAAACTTCAGCATGTTGTTACATAAGGAATGCTATGTCTCCCTGCTAAAACTAGAAACATAGCACCTGCCTTGACAACTAATATATAATAAAATCATACACCATCACACTTTCCATGTATCCCTAGAATCACCATGTCCCTAGTTCTTCAGGAAGCTCTCTATTTGTATAAGCACCTACCAAAATGTTAAATTTGGTCAGCTAATAATAAACTTCGGAAAAGCCATTTCAACACACCTACATTGGGATAAGAAGGCAATGTGTGTGTGTGTGTGAGAGAGAGAGAGAGAGACCTCAATTGCAATAGCTGCCGGTGTGAGATTACATACATCTCTGTAACCCAGTTTAGCTGCAATACCTGCATGGTGCAGGCATACACCCTCTTCAGCAATTACCAAAATAAAATATACCCCAAAAAAAAAAACCAAGAGAAAATGCCTAAAACTGTGTTTGGTACACAGTAACAGAATGTAGTGAGAATGGTGCATAAATGGAGTGATATTCCCGTTCCATTGTTTAGTTGCAGTCATATTTTTATGTTGTAATGGGATTCATATTAACCTAGAATGTAACGAGTTTTAAATTAAAATTTTAAATTATTCCCATCAATTAAAAAAAAATTAATAGCAACAATATTTTTCAAATTACCTCTATTGTATAGCCTATTGGTATCACTTCTACCTCCCATGATGGAAGGTTAGGATTTCAAGTCCAATTATGAGCCAAATAAGGGGGAAAAAAGAAGGGGGAAAAAAGATATAGTAGCCCCCCACCCATCGCTCTTTACCACTGAACAACTGAGGAACAACGGGAGATTAGATCTCATGGTTCAATTCCCATTCTCAACCCAAAACTAATATAAGCTCAAAGCTTCGTTTGAGAAAATAAATAAAACTATATGGAACAGTTCTCCCCAAGGTTAATAGCAACAATTAAAACAAGAAAACAAGGCCAAAAACCCGACAGAAATAACACATTGGTTCAGGCAATCATACTTTCCAGGGAAACCCTAGCATTAGCATTGGCATATGCATCACCCCTCTCTTCCAGAAGAGTAGATAGACGCTTGAAAGTCTACAAAAAATGTCAAAAGTAAAGGAGGGAGTGTCATTACAAACCAGCATATATTAATTTCACCTTCAATTGATTACTCATGATATCAAATCCAAAGAGGAAAGCTGAAATAGTTCTCTAGGTGTGTCCAGTATGGCGGGCCTACCTTTGTATAAGCATCGCCAGATTCGTTATGCAACAAGGGTCGAGTCTTGGTTCCTACAGCTGCAATTCTCCGTGCCAAAGCTTCCAATGGTACATCTAACCAGACACTAATCCCCTTGTTCATGTATTTCCTGACAACAACAACAACAACAACAACAACAAAAAAAGGGTCATAAATAACTAAGAAGTTGACTTAAAAGGCAACCATACTAAGAGAAAGTAAAAAGATTTAAATTTATATCTCCAATGCCGTACCAATTGATGGGCCGCATAACTGCACCCCCACCAGTTGAAACAACAAGCCGGTGCATGAGAGATAGCTTCCTCAATACCTCAGTCTAAAAGACAAAAGTATAATTACTTTCTTTCTTATTCCAATAATAGTAGGTGAATGAAAAACAAACAAGCAGGAAAGAAACTGCATTAATGAACATTAGCGGTAGTTGAGTTGGTAGTATTTGTTCTAGTAATTGTCCTCTTTATCTCTCCAAGTAATAGCCCTAGACAGAGGGATACTGCAAGCATATAATTAGTCCACAGTTTTAGAACGCTGTGTGTGTTAAGGATTTTAGCTTACTAGTGTTTTTTCCTTCAGTCATTCCCAGTTTTCGACTATTACACAAAAAATAATTAAATTAATTAAATAAAAAAAACTTAGCATCCATAAATAACTCCAAATGTGAAGATACTATAGTAGGTAAATTAATTTCTAAACTAACCTCGTTATCTCTGAAGCAGCTCTCACCATATGCATTGAAAATTTCAGCTACAGAATTTGCCCCAACTGTCTGCTCAATCAAAGTGTCACTGAAGCATCCACAATCAAAAAACAATTCAATTATTATTTAGCCAAAGGTATAGTGCGCCTGTCAACGGGATAATTGCATGGTAGATGATACACGTGCAAGAAGTGGAAACAATTTCCATTGTTCCAATACCAGCCCGAGTATCCTATATGCAATCCCAAAACTCCTTGGGTGGTGGAAACCCTCATTTGCACTCAAGTCCCTCGTATCACTAGAAAATTGTATTCCTCACCCTCTAATTATTTTGCCAAAATACCAACAGGCAAGCAATCTTAACACGAACCTGTCAAAAAATGAATAACCAAGTGCTTCTGACAAAATCCTGCCAACGGTTGTTTTTCCTGAGCCCATCATTCCTACATTTTGGATATTATATTATAGTAAAATACAATGTAGTTCTAAGTCATTTGACCTATGAATCATAGAGTATCAAGGAAACTGACCAACAAGATATAAACACCGTCCATTTAAATATGGTTCAGTCTCTTCTGACTTATTCTGCAATTTTAATAACTTCCAGTAAGATGAATACACAGAGCTGTCTAGAGATGAGCCAAAAAACTAATCTCAGCTTCTCATTTTAACGTTTATGCCACAGGGAACCATATAACGTATACAAAATGCCAAAATCTCCAAACAAAAGAAAAGGATTTCAACACCTTTAATTTCACAGACAATATATAAAAGAAATCAAAAGGACATCAGTCTACCTTTAAGATCATAACTTCATCAAAAGAAGCAGGAAAATTTCCAGACTCCAATATGCGAGCTACAAAAGTGAGATTTAATATAAATCATCAGTAACCAAAAAGAGTAGCAGACATTCGTATCAAGAGAGAAAGAGAGTTCAACTCCTAGCTTTAGCATTTCAACGATTACAAAAACATGGCCACAATTCCGTTAAAACACTTGGCTAAATAAGAGTGCAACAAAAGAGTCATAGTTTAATGCTCTCCATAAAGCATGGACTATCGTCGGTTAAAAATTTGTGGCAGCACTCGTAACATCCCCTGACCATCTAGAATATTATCAATATTATTATTATTATATATATATATATATATTTAAACAAATGGGATGCATGGAATAAAGACAGTGTTCAAGCTTCGTCTGAGACACAAAAGAAGCCATGTTGAATCTTTATTATCCAAGGTTTGCAAGAAATACTCAAACCTGAATTGATCATCCATTTAGCTCATCAGCACCATAACACATGCATGTATATATATATATATATATATAGGTATGTATACATACGCAAATATACATCTGGAAGCCAATCAGGCAGTGTACTATGTTAGCACACTTTGGACGACAAACATAAGTCTTAACATATTGTCGAATAGTTAAATCCAGATGATCTCATCTGTATCATTTCGCTAGAATATTGAACAGTACTTCAGGTTTAATGAGCTTTGGTCAAAAAAAGATGACCATACTGCATGATTACAGTGCCTTAGGGTAAATTAAACATATAAATCATAAGGTTCAACAAAATTAGGGCCATTGTAAAAAACTCGGGCTGTCAAGCGTGAGAAAGCTGCTTCTAGTCTGAGGGCAGCAACATTGTGTTATTAATGCCACAGGTCAGGATCTGCACTTCGTTAGCCCCTCCCTGCCCCTTTGATTAATGGGGACCAAACTTGGTAATGTTATTTAAGGTCAACGACATTAAGCAAAGGGAGGAAAATTGTATCAAATTCGTCTGTTCATATATTGAGGAGGCTTCGAGAACTAGGATTACTTTGACGTTGTCAAGTAAACTTGAGCCCTGAACATCTACATAAGTCAAAAACTCCATACTTTCACTTCACACATGACAGTAACTGTTCTAATGAGTGTGGAGTAAATTTACATTGATAATATGCAGAAAATTAAAATCCAGTAGCAATCTTTTGCTTATAATTATAATCTCCAGGACATCTACATTCTTACAATTCAATCTTACATTCATAATATGCAGAAAATTAAACTCAGGCTGTCAAAATGAGATGATATGTGTTTCAGAAACAGTTAGAAGCACTGATTTCAGCAAGCGAGCAACTGCTGCAATAAACTTCAAGCTAAAATTTGAATTTGACAGCTATATCTATGTAGAAAGAAAGCTCCACTCATCTCGGTATCCATTCTGATGAACTCGGTCAAGATTTGGTGGTTGCAGTTGGCTTGGAAGAAGCAATTTGGATCTCTCTATTTAATAAACCAATTGCAATCACATAGACTCCCGAGAACAGCAGCGATCGCAAAAAACTAATCAGAAACTCAAAATCCAAATCAATTTTTATTCTGACACCCAAAACATTAATTGTGATCGAATCCACAATTCAAATAGCAGCAATTTTGAACCTACAAGTTGCTGTTACAAAAATCATCATTCATCATTATCACCACCCTTGCCTTAATCCCAGATAAATGGTCTTAGCCACATGAATTCTCTTTTTCCATTCTTCTCTATTACAAGCCATATATCTCACTCCTAATATTTATTTTATTTTTAAAAAATAGTTTCTAATAACCTCATGCCATGATAATTTTGCTCGTCCTCTTTGTCTCTTGCCTTCTATGTGAACTACCCCACCTCTTCATACCAGTGCATCTATAGGTCTTTATTGTATATATCCATGCCACCTAAGTCTACTTTCTCTTATTTTCTCACTAATGGGCACCACTCCTAATTTTTCTCTCACACTTTCATTAATAACACTATCTTATACAAAAATATTAATTGAAATGTTTAGTTTCTACCATTAAAAAGATAATCACGAATCTGTGTAATAAGATAGTAACAGGACGAAAGAAGAAACAAATAACTTTTTTCCTGGAGCTTTGCTGTTACTAGATGTGCTTAGGTGCACAGAGAATAAGAACTTGAGAAATACATGGTTGCCTTAATGTCCTACAAGGAGCACAGAGTAATAATGAAAAAAAGGGGCCTACACATTCAACCAAAAAGCTGACTTGGATTGACACAAATTATATCTCACGTTAATCCAAATTTCATTCCCAATTATCCTACGAAACTAAAATAGAATCAAGTTTCCAAGAGTTAATCAAGTATGCTTTTTTCGCAATAGTCACCGAGACATGCATACCAACTCAAATGTATAGTGATAAATCATATGTTACAATGAATGTGTAAAAATTAATTTCTATTACATGTTAAAATATAGTGATATATTGTTAATTATAAAGGAAAAGTGCTTTTTCATTCTTTACTCAACAATTGAGTTAAAATGTTCTGTAACTACCTGGAAACTTCTGACAAGAACATGAAACGTCAAATGCTACTGGTCTATGCCATTTTGCACTTCTTCTAGGCTGCAAATCACAAGATATAAGAATCTGAAGCTTCTTTCGTTCGCCATGACCCTGAAAAAACTGCAAGGAGCTACTTGGTTTCCTAGTGATCTTCTCCAAATCAACCCAACTTGAGAATGGCAAACTTTGGGCAACTTTAGCCTCCATTTCTGCACTATTTCAAAAGCTCAAACAATTTGATTTCACCAGAAACTTGATCAACTTCCAAATCACACATAACCAAAGCTGCAATTTGATCCCATTTTCTCTGCAGAAACCCAAACTTCAATTGACCTTCCTTCTAATTGTCTGACTAAAATAAGAGAAAGTAAAAGAAGAATCAAAGAACGAAAATCTTGTATTATTTTCTAAAAAAGAAAAGAAAAAGCACTGGGCCATTCAGTGGCGAAGCCAGAAATTTACTTCAGTGGGGGCAGCCTTTAATTTAGAGTTCGATTATTTGGACCATTTTGGCTCAAGCCAAGTGCATATATGTCGGGGAGAATTTTTTCTTAATAATAATATGATTAAAAAAATAAAAAAATAAAAAAGTAGAACTAAAACAATATGGCCAACCCCATGCAGGTGGGAAAAAAGTAATAATGGTGATGAACCGAAAACATAAAAGAAATGCAAAAATTAAAGTATAGATTGATAATATTAGGAGAAAAGTTATGGGTCTCTTTTGAATTTAGAGTTAATAATAGTTTTTTTTAAAAAAAGTATTATTGGGCTTCTTTTGAGAATTTTATAAATTTACAATGGGAGTATTTTTACAATTACAAATATTTTACATATAAAATCAAAATAATATGGAAGTCTAGTGGGGGCAGCTGTCGCCATTGGACCTCATGTGGCTCCGCCATTGGGGCCACTGACATGAATGGTATAACTTGTCCTCCCCAAATGGGAGGTGAGGGTTTGAGCCCCATTGTGAGCTTTTGTGGGTAAGAATTTGCTCAACCAACCTAATCATATGATGTAGTAGTATTTACCTGAAATTTTAATCTATGATGTATTACATTAGATAAATAGAGTAGAATAATGATTTAAGGACCGAATTCAATTTATGCTAGTGTCGTGGTGGGCCCCGCTGTATGATGTCATCCCACCATCCCTCTCACATAATTTGAATTCGGTAAAGGTCTAATTCGGTCTAAGTCACTACTCAATAAAGTATTTTGTTTTTTCAGCTTACAGATACGGAAAATCTAAGACTAAAAATATGATTTAATGACCAGAAAATCTCATGGATTTTCTCTTCCCATCCAGATAGGTAAATTTAATGATGCAGACGCATTAGGCTCCCATTACTGTAGTTTGCGCTATCTCAGATCTTTCCAAATGAAGAATCTAAACTTGAGAAATCTTGATTCAATTGCCAAAAAAATTATCTATCTTTTTCCTAACTTTTCTCAGCGGCAAAACAGAGCGCACAAAATGAGATTGCCCCTAAACTTTCGTAATTAGATTTAAAAGTTCATTAAATCAACACAAACAATATAAACTTCAAGATTGAGCACGGTATATAAATGATTCGGTTCAGCATAATGTGCCTGGCATTCATATAATGCTAAACGTATATATAAGCATGAATACATACATACATACATATATATATATATATATATATATATATATATATATAAACAAACAATAAATTGACACAAAGTTATGTAACTTACAGGGAGTGATGTGTTCATCAGAAGATCAAAAAGGCGGCTGGCAGAGGAACAACCCAGAGAAAGAATCTAATGTTGTGTCTCTCTCTTTCTCTTTCTATATCTATTTCTATCTATGGAGAGAGAAAATGGGTAGTGGGTGGGTGCAAAGCTCAGTGTTAGGTGGTGGTTGGTGCTGTTTTGGTCCTATTCTAATTATACGCTACAAGTTTTGGGGGTAGGTGGATTTGGTGTTTGGTAAACTGGTAAGGGTGTTTACCAGGTGCGTCTAAATTTGTAATTTTGCTGGAAATTCAAGGGTTTACATGTATGTTACTTATAAAAGGAAAAAACACAGGTTTAGCATGTACTTATAAAAGAAAAAAAACAAAGGTTTTTTTCTCCAATAAATAAATAAATAGCTTGTGGGGTTTTTTTTCTCCAATAAATAAATAAATTTGCAAATTAAAGAAATTATAATAATATAATGATTATTTAAATTAATTTAAGTAAAATTAAAGAAACAAATCCATCTCTATATTTAGACGTTACATTATGACAATTTACTCCGAGTATAAATGTATATTTATATTCATACTAATATGCAAACTTTTATTAGAGAACTTTAACCAAAAAAAAACTTTATTAGAGAAGCAAATAAAAGCTATTAATTACATGACTTGAGATTTTTAGCTATTTTTAAAGACTCTAGGCCCATTTTAGCGACTTGGGCAGTCCAATGGACTTGATGGAAAATGGGCCCAATTTATTGAGTCACAAAATGGGTCGCCAAAAACAACGATCTAGTTGGCGATTTGGATTGCCTTACACGGGCTCGCCTGTTTTTTCTTTTTAATATTTTTTAGCCCAAATTCCTGTAGCCCTTTGCCCAGAATTGGGTTAAGGGCAAGTTTGGCAGGAAAAAAAATATAATCAGTTTTTTTTTTCTTCTTTTTTTTTTTTCTTTTCTTTTTTTCCTCTCAACACAACTGAACCAAAAGCCGTTAAGGCATTGTTTAGCTGACACAAACAGTGCCTTTATGGCTTTTTTGGGCAAAAACTAATAGATAAATAAATAAAGAGAGAGGAGAAAATAGCTTTTTAAATAGATTTTTTTTTTCTTTGTACACAATATATATATATATTTTTTCCCTAATTGATACTCACACATACTTGTCTCTTTTTAGACTTGAACCTCTGATCTTCCTTTGAAGGTAAGAGACTGATACCGCTAGATCACTGACCCATTCTTTGTATATAATTGTTCCATATGATTGTTCTTTTTTTAAAATAAAATTAAAAAAAGGAGAAATGTGCCATATGGTTGTTCTTTGTTCCTAGTTAATTTTAATAATGGTATTGCATTGTTTATTTTTTAAAAAAACAAAATTCATATCGTATTGTATTGTTTTAATTTTTCTAATCTATAACAAATATTGTATTGTTTAATATTTTTTTGTATGATATAACCGTTAGAAATATAGGTGTTAGGAAAAAGTAAAAACAAAATATAATAATAATTATAATTTATTAAAAATTTTAAAAATATTAAAATATTTCAATTTTTGGAGAGCAAAAACGCACCGTTGGAGCACCTGCAATAACTAAAATTTTAAAAGTTCAAAACGCTGATGTGGCTTATGAAAATTCTAATGGGGCTCTTGAAAAATGTTCACGTGACAAATCTGGAGATCCAAATTTTAGTGATGTCATGCTCTAAGAACATATTTGTTTTAATTAGCAATCCAATCAAGTATAGAAAAAAATATAAAATATGAAAAATTAAGTTATTTTAACAATTCATTTATATAAAATAAAAATACATTAAGAATAACATTCAGCTAAAAGACAACCATTTCACTATGAGATTTGAAAAACATTCCGTGTCCCATGACTCCCATCCAGTTTGCATAAATATTGTAGTATTCTAAATTATGTTTGGGGTGTAATAATTAAAACTTTTGCACCATTTTATATCAATATAATAACCCAAGTTATTATTTATTTACAGGTTAAATATTGTGATTTGGATCAAGTATAGAAAACACTCTTATAGTATGTTTATAATATGTATCACACTCTTCATGTGCAAAAAACATCTTATAATTTCAATTTGTGCAAACAGGTCCCTCCTGACATATTTAAGGTATAGTTTGCCTAAATTACCCTTATATACACATTTAAAATACATATTTTGTATTATGTATCAAGAAAAAAAAAAAAACATATTTTGTGAAATGACAAAAATGGACACAAAGCGATATGACATATGTGGAGGAAAAAATCTCTCCTCCGATAAGAATCAGCCATGTTATTAAAGTAAGTCAAAATCCCAATTAATCTCCAAATCAGCCCATCAAAGCCTGATCTTGGTAAAGCCCAAATGAAGTTGCCATCGACCTAGGGTTATTCACATTAACCTCTTGACCTGCAATAAATTCATGGGCCAGCACATTCACATCCTAATCCAAGTCCAGTTCAAATTAATCAAAGTCCTTTTACTTAAGGATTCTTCATATAAGGAAGTTCTGCATGGGAAAAGTCTTGCATGGAAGGAACTACAAAAGGAAAGAACTTTGTAGGTAAAGAATTGTATATAGAATGAATTAGAGGACAAGCAGGGCGAGTCCTACCATAATTCCATCATCTTTTTGTACATAAATAGAGGTATAGACCTCCAATAAAGATCATCGAGCATTACAAGCTTTTCTCTGAATTATTCCTGTTAATTGTTCTTTTATTTTGAATGAGTTGTATTTTTTCTTTTGACTTTTTAGTTAAACGAATTATTTACACCTACACTTTGGCGCCGTCTGTGGGAATCGTATAGAAATATATTCCTATGAGTGAATTGAAATCTTTTATGCTACTACGATCCGGGATGTAAATCGGAGGAGCCGCAGTCGTAGCCGATCAACAGCTGGAACTAATGCAAAAGATGCGAGAAGAGTTTTTGCAGCAGTTCGAGACCCTCCATCAAGCAAACGAGGCCAGTGCGACTCAGATTGCATTGTTTCAGCAGAAGAACGATACCCTCCAGACAGCCATGGCGCAGATAACACCACAGCTACCACTAGATAATGTAACGGGAGCTCCCCCCCAACCACAATATTCCTCCTGTTGACGAAGCTCAAGCCAACGAAAGTCGGCAGGAGCAGAGGACGAGAACCGAGGCAGTAGCTTCGGACAACCACCCTCACCGCACACAAGGTGAACAGGTCGAATCCAGCCGTAAACTCACAGTATGGACAAATGGCGTTCAAGATGGTGTCCAGGAGATCTTTGACGAGAAGAAGCTCCTAAGGATTCAGATGCCTGCCGAGATGGCCAGGGAGCATAAGGCCTCTCTGGTGAAGACTTCATTCACAGATCAGATATACTATATCGACAGACCTAAAAAATTCACCATGCCAGCTTTCACTCAATTCGATGGCACATGAGATCCCTCTCGTCACCTCAATCACTACTCTCAGAAGATGGCTCTGGATAACCACAACGACACATTCATGTGCAAAGTTTTCCCAACTAGTTTAACGGGAGCTGCATTGGAGTGGTTCAAGAATAGGGCACACAAGTCCATCCCGAACTATGAAACTCTGTACGCCATGTTCCTAACACAATACTGTGGTAATAAGAAACAGAAAAAGACTATCACTAGTCTCTTCACTATAAGACAGAAGAGAAGTTAAACGTTACAGGATTTCTTGTCCAGGTATAACATGGAGGCATCGGAGATAGTAGATTGCCACCTTGAGACTACTATAGAAGCATTCAAGATCGGCATGATCCAAGGGACTAAGTTCTATACGTCTTTAGTCAAATACTCCCCTCCAGACATGCAAACTCTTAATGCCAGGGCACAAGTTTACATTAGGCTTGAAGAGAATGTAGTTCACCGAGTACAACATGCCACCCTTGTCACAGTAGAAAATAAGACTCGGGAAAAAGCTTCGAGTTCAAAAAGTAAAAGAAATCAGTATGCCTCAGCACCAGTTGCTCAAATACCTTGGAAAAGACAGAAAACCGAGGAGAGAGTAACACCTCTTCGTACCACATTGGCTCGATTATTCCAGGAGAGCAAAGTAAGATTCACAGTCCCTCAGCCAATGCAGCAACCTGGAGCAGAGGGACAAAAGCAAACACTGCGCATACCATAGGGATTATGGGCATACAACTAATGACTGCAGATCCCTTTGGCGACAGATGGAAAACATGATAGCCAAATGAGACCTAGCAGATTATCTCGGGCCGAAGGAGCATAAAAGGCTGAGGGAAGTTAATCCTCAAAAGGTAGAAGGTAGTCAAGTGAAGGTCATTCATGTAATCCATAGAAAATCAGAGGAAGACCAGAGTCAGAAAAGGTGTACCGCTCTAGACTGAGGGCTGTCTACAAGCTAAGGAAGTTATCCTCAGTAAATACCATCACTTCGGGCAATATCAGTATCGAATTCGGAGATGGAGATTTATCCAGAGTGCAGCTTCCCCACGAAGATCCACTTGTTATTAGTCTTTTGGTAGCAAACTGCATAATTAAAAGGGTCATGGTAGACCCTGGCAGCAATGCCAATATTATAACTAAGGCAGCCTTTGAGTAGTTAGAGATCCCATCGTCGTCAATTTAAGCTACATCTACTCCCTTGATGGGGTTCGATGTAACAAAAGTGGACCCTATTGGAATAATCGATTTGTCAGTCACTGTTGCAAAGAGGACATTGAAAGAAAACTTTGTTTTGACAAAAATTCATCCTTCCTACAATCTCATCATGGGAAGAGGTTGGATTCACCGAATGAATGGAGTACCTTCTACTCTACATCAGGTGATACAATGTTTTTCTCCAAATATAAAAGAAGTCATTAACCTTTGGGGAGATCAAGTTGCTGCAAAAAAAGTGTTACATGTTGACACTGACTGAAATAAAGAAAGGAGTTAAGATATCCAAATCAGATGCAACCCTTAAAGGTGTTGCTAAATAGCAATTATAGAGCCCTTTGCCCGAGTATTCAAAAGCAGAAGCAGAGGCAGAAAAAACAATGCCCACCGAGGAATCTCTTGAAGTTCTAGAAGTTATCCTCAGTAACTCACAGAAAGTTACTTATATGGGTTCTTCCCCCTCAGCTAAAGAGAGGAAGTGTTAATAGATGTCATCCGAAGAAATGGAGATACATTCGCCTGGATCCACTCGGATATGCTAGG